TTCTATTAGAGGTTTTACGGTAAATGGAAAATTTTACTTTCACAGATTTTTTCAAAAAATCCTAGTTTTCCACAGGTGATTCGTGATTGACCAATTACAGAGATAGGGCTATAAACGACCAATTACTTATCTACCGCGAACGAGAGGCTCTGCACCTGATCATTCGCGAGCACCTTGCGTATCATCACGACTGGCCCTTTAAAAGGACAATAAATGACCAATCGCGAAACAATTCTTGTTTTCTATTTTGCGGACTTCCTTTCCCTATTTTGGGTATTTTATTTCGTTTTTCGCCGTTTTCGATGCAGTTTTTGTCCGTAAATCATTATTAAACATTTGAAAACATACTAGAATACTGTATAATCATGTATTTCTCGTTTTTATTTTTAGAAAAAGAGGAAAATTGACCGGAATTCGGAAGTTGGAAATTAGAAGTCGGAACTTCCAAAAAATCTAGAGATAACAGTGCTATCGTACTGTAAAAATGTAAGAATCGCTCGAACTAGCAGTGAGTAGATTCGATTAATGGCTATAAAATCTATATGAATTGTTTCAGTTCCCTAGCCGTTATCCTACAGCGTCTTCTTCTTTTTCTTCTCCCCAACTTGGACCGTCATCGAAAAAGACGAAAACGGACATTACGAAAAGCTCCGGCGCCGCTCCAGCCGGCGCTCTCGCGATTGGTCTGTAAATGGCCTGCGGCAGGCATGTTCCGATGTACCCATGACGTCTCTCCGCGAACAATTTCACCTATTTTAGACGCTGAGCGAAACACCTGTGTCCGCTTTTTGTCGATTTCTGAAGAACATCCATTTTTTTCTGTTTTTGTATTAAAACGGTGAATAGGCAGGCGTTCTTCGAAAAACGGCACAAACTAGGAATTTTTAGAAATTCTGTGAATGGATAATTTTCATTCTAGGTTTGTTTCATAACCTCCACATTTTCACAGCCGAGCTTCAGACTTATGGTCAAAATCAACTGAAAAAAAAACACGTTTTTGCATATACTTTTAGCCAGCACTGTACATAATCTAGGGAAACATTTCAGAGTTGTTCAAATTGTTGTCTGAAAAAATACCGAACATTTCATTTTTGAAATTCCATACAGAATCGAAATTATCGACGGATATTTGGGACCATAGCGAATCAAAGGTTAAGAGTAAATTAGATTTTACAGAATTTGTTTCGAGGGTTACGGTATGTATTTTCGACTTTGTACAGAATTAATGTGCACATTGCTAGTGCGCCGTTTGCATATTGACAACGTTTGCATATGAATGAAATTTTGAAAACACTATTTTTAAAGTCTGTGAAAGAACTGGAAGACATTTTATTTGAAAGCAATTATATCCATAATCTTAGTTTTTGAAAAAATTGAAGCTTGAAGAAACAGAAATCCATTTCAGAAGGTTTTTTTTCTCCAAATCTGCATGTTCGATTCGGTAAAAAACAAAAAGTTTATAAATTGGAAGAATATCTAATAAATGGTTTTGGGATAGGTTTCATACATTATTATCACCATAGTAATCCTCCCAAATTGACGTATCCAGGTTCCAAAAAATATTCAGTTTTTTGATTTCTCTGGAAAGTATCAATTAATACTGTTTTGCTGGTTTTGAAACTTAAGCTATTCCGAATCGGAAACCACGAATAAATTGCCTAGCTGTCTGGGAATCGTATTCAGGTAGACAAGTGTGTGCCACTACAATAACTAATTTTTGCTCAACCTGAAACAGAAAGTTTATTATAATTAATCAATTCTGAAAACTCGCTTGAAAATGGCCCGGGTTGGTGGTTTTTCCATAAATGCTAAATGTGGCACTGTTGCCAGCGGATGAGCCGTTTTTCAGAGAGATCATGTGGGAGCTGAAAACGCAAGGTTATACAAAAAAAAATTGACTGCCTTACCTGCTTTCATCCTCATATTCTCGAATTCCAATTTTGAAGGTGAATTCTCGAGAACACTTTAGCTCTCCTTCCACGAAAACTTCCGTTTGAGCGGACGATAATACCAATATGATTAGTAAGAGAATGGGAGCCAAAAATTGAATTCTCATAGCTAATTTTTGAATATCGGGTTATGAATGATTTTCTTTTGTGAGCACCGACTATTTATAGTAATTTTGGAAGAGGAGAGGCGGAGCCTGAGTATCGTGGGTGTCACCTGCATTCCTAGAAAAAAAATTTAAAAACCCTATTAAGCCTGACGATAGAGTGGGAACAATGAAGATAGTTCCGTGAAGCCCTCACGGAAAAATCGTTTTCTCGAACCATTACAACCACTTTTCAAAATAGCATATGAACCGGAGAGAACATTAGAGAGCATAAGAGCGTTTTGACTAAGTGGTTCGTCGGGCCGAGGGTACGATGAATTCGAACTTTCCCGAAATCGAACTCGTTCGAATTAGAACTGTCCCTTTTTCGAATACGCCCAGAACAGAACAAGAACAGAATCGAACTGCTACGAATTCGAACTATGCGGTGTCGAACTGTCCCGGATTGGAACTCTGTTAGCAACAGGGCGCGCTTGCTTTCTTAATTATTTTTGTCAACAAATTTTGCATGTTTTCTCCAGAAAAGAACTTTTTCATTTATTTTGGATGTTTTGCGGATTTCTCTTCCCGTTTCGAGAATATAAACTTTTACAGAAAATGGCTCCTCGTAAAAACAAGCCGATCGTCCAAGTTCAAGGATATGCAATGCGATTCAAAAAAATGAACAAAAATGGAACAGAGCTTTTTTACTGTGTCGAGCGGTAAAAAATTGCAGCTTTACTATAAAACAATATTTTTCCCAGAGAAAGACGAGCTCGATGTGATGCAGCTTATCATTTCGACAGAATGAACAACACGCTCACTGTTAAAAATCAGCATGCGAGACACGACGAGGATTTTGTCAGAAGTGAAGTTAGTAGTGAAGTTAGCATACAAAGATGGATTGGAACGAGTTGAAACTAAATCCGAATTTCCAGGTCTGTTTCTACTCTTGAACACCTAAATTGATTTTTTA